TCGTCGTTTATATAGGAGGAGTCATTTTAATTAATCAAGTCTAATAAACATGTAATTTAAAAAGAAACAGAAGAAAAAACGATCAAATCCAATGAAAAAGCAAGCCAATCAACGAAAAATATCGCTGTTTTCCTTTCCTATCGATTGGTGAGAGACGGGGTGAGTACGGTAATCGCAGTGACATTTGCCGCATGCCGCAAGGGAGAATGCCGCGATAGGGGAGAAGTTCCGTTACCCGAGTAGGCAGAGGAAGGATGCTGAAAGGTAATGGTCCTTAGGTAATTCTGATGCAGTTCAGCGGAGGGTTTATGTACGAAAATAAAAAAAGGAGACTCTGTGTGGGATAAAGAGGAAGCGAATTGCTTGTATCCGAAAAATCTAATTCTAATACAGCCATTCGTAATTGAAAATGGGTGATGAGCGGCAAAGCGAAATAAAAAGTTGAAATAATGAATAATACTACCAAAATGGTTAATTAACTCAAGAGATTACAGTATATAGAGGGCCCACAAAGGTAGACAACATGAAACTAAGAACTGACAATCAATCTCAGAATCAGCCAAACTTATAATCATTTTTGATTTCAGTTTTTTGGTGGGTCTAAAGAGGAAGCGGTGATCTTTGTCTAAAAGAAAATTCAAAACGGACGACACCGGCGGTGGGCGTGGTGCCCATCAAAAAGGGTGGAGCGTCCACAAAAAATTTAACTGTCCATTAAAGACATGGAGATGGGGAAAGTCTTGGGGTTTCTCCAGAAGTAAAATCACGGTAGGGATTATTTCGTAATCAACTCGGCCAGTAATCTCGCAACTTTATTTATAATTCTGAAATCACATGACCCATCATTGAAATAGTCAGATTAGAAGCAGCTATACATAGATCCCATATAGCCCATAACTCATTGTATTTATATATAGAACCTTGGTATCTTCTCTCTGAATATTCTCCAAAGAACCAATCGAAGAACGGACAACGGCTGCTGTGTTCACTAAGGTCACCACTGCTGACGTCTGATTAAATATGTCGGTTGAAACGGCAATCTCATATAATATATGGAATATGATCCATCTTGAATCATGTAAATCTGACATGGGTTGTCTTAAGGCCTTGTTGAGTACGTATGGGTTCCATGTTCCTCAACCATTTTATTCCTCTCAGTTGTTGATTTAGGTGTTTGGTGTTTAGATTCCTCCCATTGAATATTTATAATTCAAATCCAAGCCATGACTTATATTCATAGTCAAAGCTACAAATATCACATTTTAAACTCATTTGCAATCATTTAGACAGCTTTGTAAAGCGGGGAATAGGTTTTTCTCACACAGCTTGTCACACGACGGGGCGTCTAGTAGGTAAACGCTGTAGGCGGGTTTAAATTACATAGTTTTACACACCTCTTAATGGTGAATTGTTTGAAGGCAATGGTTCCCTATCATATAGTGATTAAAGTCGATATAAACTTAATTCAATGAAGCTCAAAGTCCCTAAAAAGAGATTCTTGAGATCTCCACCGGATCTCCGAAAAATCGGGGCTCTTTGGATAACTGGGGCATTAGGAACACATTAGAAGGTCTCAGTATAGAGTACATTTTACATAAATAAAATACATTGAAAAGTATTTGGCCTTGGAAAACTTGCTCTTAATCCTGCCTGTCTATCCATCAAGTGGAAATAAGATATCTAGGGTTCTTCACTATCAAAACCCATTCATTTCAACCTATCCGTAATATGACGTCAATTTTATTACTTTGATATGACATTTCGCTACAGCAAGTCTACTGAATGTTTAAAGGGATATTTAAGAATTTTAGAAGTTTCCAATGCTGTCAGCAGCATCTCGTGAATGTTGTTGGCACAAGGGAAAATTGAGATTTGATTTTGTTTTAAGAGCTGGAGTATATGATAAATCCGATTTTTTGAGCTTTTTTTTGAATTTTCAGTGGAGGATATCAAATGCTAACTAAAACAGAATTGAATTTTTATACTTGGTGACAAAAATAACAATTCTCATTACTGGTTCATCCAGGTGGATCCTGTTGCTTGTGACTGTATGTCAAAGCCTGAAGAAATGTGTACCGGGAATGCCTGCTTTGCCAAAGTCGAGATATTCACTGATGAGAAAACGGCCATCATGCAGGTATACTAGTGTTTACATTCTAGAAGCATTCATATACTTCTGAAATACTGTAGCAATATGATAGTTCAAATACAATGTGGAATCTTAATCCCTTTTTTTAAGAAAGGTTGTATAACGGATATCCCTGGAGGACAGAAAGGTTGCCAATACGCCAGTAACAACGAGGCCCTTCATTGTTTCTGTGAAGAAAATGAGTGCAATACAAGACAAAAGGTCTGTTAGTATAGTTATTATATCAGATTATCATTATCTATGTTGCTCAACATAAGCCTTCTCTTCGAGGCGCAGGTGGTGTACTGCCATGTGGCGCATTGGTACACGAGCGGTTCAAGAATCAAATCCCAGACTGTTTCCCGCCCAGGTCGACTAAGTCCTCCGCTCTTCCTTGGGTTAGCTGTCTAGTACCAGCCTAGCCTAGGAGGAAAACAAGACTTGTCCATCAGCTGGCCAGCGCAAGTCACTGTATGGGATACATACGCATTCAAACGTCACTACGAATCTAAGTATAAGTCGTGAGCAGGACGTATTCCGAGAACGGAGTTGGTTAGCGCGTAAAGATTCTCCGACGATGAGCTTTCAAAAAAGTGCAGCTATTCATAGATGACTACACTAACTTTTGTTTGTGACAAGGAGGGGATCGCTCATCAGTTGGTACAAAAAGAAAAACTCATGTTCAGTGTAAAATAAAGCAAACCTTGTTTTTTTATAAAATTAGACCAGAAGTAGATAAACGTTTACAAGCTTGTAGTCAGATGTTGTTGCAAACAAAAAAGTAACCAGTAAAGTCTCTAATAATGGGCTCACACACGGAATTCCCTTTTTCTCAAGCTAGGTCACCCCATTGGCAGGTACCCAGCCGGCACTATTTGTATGTTCCTATTATCAGCATGGCTTGGCCCCATCTGTAACTACTTCCGCTCGGAGCAATTTTTTCCTTTTCTTGAGTTAGTAATTTCTGAGGCTATTCATTTTTTCAACTGGTTTTCGGTGATATTTTTTGCAGGCTTTTTTGGTTTTTACGAGTGTAAAATTACCATTCATAACTACTACTCTACTGATGTCTCTTTTTTTGTAACAGGCCTTTGCACTAAAGTTAGACGAAGCTTTTTTGGCCCGTCTGCAAGAGAGTACTTCCGAGGCGCTAAGCGTCTCTTCTCCACTGTTCTAATTTGGGAAGCCTAATCGACTTGTGAGCACATCGGCGCCGTTTCCTGACTGGCGTCCGAATTAGATTGGTGGGTAGGGCGGTGAGAATCAGCTTTGATGATGAGCTAAATGTGATCGAAATCCTTTTACGACAGTTTTTCCAAAGGGATTTGTGGTCTTCTAGTTCTTCTATCCAATCTGCCGTTCTATAGGGCTTTTCAAGGGAAACAAGAACTTTGCGTTTTGGCGTGGTTCAAGAACTGATAAACGAGTATAACTTTCCATAGGTTCGTATGAAAACATTGGTATCACATGAAAAAGTAGGGGCTCCGCCCTTTTTTTTGCCCCGGATGTCACTAATACCGTAACAGTTTGTAGCTCAAGAGATTATTCCACCGTGTCCCGCGCTGTTTGGATTTTTGGATTGGTTAAGGCCACTTTTTCGAATCCCCCATGGTACCCGATTACCCTATGGAGCTCAGCTCAACTCGAACCCTTAGTTTGGGTTAATACTAACTGTCCCTCGATATAAATCATTCTGTGCCAGCCAAGTAGTCTGGTTTATTTATTTATTTATTTATGGTGCGTCTATGTAGTGGACGCGTTACGACGACAAGTGAGAATTTCTAAACTGGAGGGAGGAAAACGGAAGTAAAAACATAAATCTACAATAACATGAAAGGTATATTAAAAGAAATCAAACAAACTCAACATCATGATCAGCAGCGGAAACCACTGAGAACCCAAGCAAGCACAAAGCAGTAATGTTAGAGGAGTACATGATGACGTTCTGCATTCACACAGGCTTAGGCATATCTGTTTTCATGGGGCGACACTTGTTTATTTACTTACATTTCACTTTTTACTTGTTTATTTTTACCTCTCCGTCAGGTAGTCGAACGCAACTTCACCGACATCAGCTACAATACGTTCCAAACATTTGCGAGAAGAAAGCTACCTCTCTCCTTCTTCAGAGGGACATAATTTCTGTTGATTGAAAGATCATTTCTCCTAATGACTGTAATGGGTATCGCGGCATCGGCGTCTTTGACTGATATCTTCCCGTAGTTATAAGTGTGGTAAAAAGTATCCACAAACCGGTTGCATAGAGGCTATTTGCATTACCCAGGGAATTAGGGACAGCGATGGCGACTAAGAGGTTAATTTCATGTCTTTCGAGCGAAGGAAAGAGGCCATTTTGGGGTACTTTCAAGAATCGCTGGCCACCCTTCACTATCAACACCGGTGTGTCTTAAGAGGGTGGGCATAATGTAGATGGATCTTCATGAGCTGAGACCGACCGCTTTCAAATGTAAGGTACCCATAGTTGGACCCTTTTTCATAAACTTCCTTCCGCTGTGTTGAAACAGACTTGATTAATTTGCATAAATTAATCTTGTATTAACAAAAACACGTTCCACTCAATTCTGTTCCCGATGTCCAACTTATATACATAACTAGAAATGGATGCTTTCCCACTGTGACTTGTTTTTGAGTTGTGATGAACCCCTCGGGATGCAGCAAGCTGCGGTTTGTTGGTTATTTCACATCAGCAGACTCTGAAATATTGACAACTGGTAAACTACAAAAACTCCTGCTCGAAGTTGAAGTAGAGATTTGCGTAGGTCTCCATTAACAAGTTCAACCCTTCGGTGATTTTACAGAGCTGCTATCACAGAGCAATGAGGGAAGGCTATTAATCGGTCTCTTATGAGTTGCTTATTTATCCTTTATTTACTTGATTTCTCCCTCAAACTCCCGGAAGGCATGCCAAGACACAAACAAATTTGGAGTTTAGTAAGACAAAACAATAAAAGACCCTAGGGGTACGGCAATCAGAACTCGGTTCGAAAATGAGCAAAAATAAGAAGAGAAGAGCAGAGGCAAGATATGAATGGGGCAGAAATGTCTTTGGAAATTTAGGGGAGGCACAAGTATGTCCCGAAGTGGCCGATAAAACACTCCAAGACAGGAGAACTCGCGCCGCTGGCCATGGGAAGCAAGAGTAAGGTCAAAGCAACAGTTTGGAAGTAACGTTCCAGAGAACTGGAACGTGGCAGGGCCATGGAAAGGTTCAAAAGGAATCACTGGTCTTTTGAGGGACAAATAGATTGTGCAGGGACCACCAGCAATCGCGATGCTTGGTACCTTCGAATTTCGGAGCAATACAAATGCTAATATTTAGTCACCCAGGCTCTGTGGTAATCATCAATCAATGGGCTCCCACTTGAAATAGAAACGGAATGCATCTAGGAGAAGAAAGCCGCTGTATCTGACAGGGCAAGATTAGCAAGTGCATTCCCATTTGAAGTTAGATTGACGAACAAGAAGGTCTTGAAGTAGTAAGTGAAGGGGTATATTCTATTTCTAGTTTAGGAATAACATATGCAATGGAACATTAGTAAGCTGAGTCTGAGCAGAGAAGAACATTTTATCAAATGAACATCTCCTCAGTTGTTCAGATGGGTCTTTAGGGAAACCTCCAAGGTCTAATTTCATTCGTCAACTATTAACTTCGAGCTCATGAAGGAGGGACTATCGTTATGGGAGGACTTTTGATAGAATGATTACGAAATTGTAGAAATATTTCTATTGGAATCCCTTGTCTGCATTCAGAATTATGAGTTGAAAAAGGAAACTCCCTGATTCTTTTCATTTTCTTCCAAGAAATCTGCGAAAGAACAGCTGAAGAAGAATTCAAATATAATACATCCACTACCCCTGGTACTTCTCGAAAATAAATCAAGTGATTAGGTTTCCAAGCAGTGTTCTAAAAAGTCCAACTTTTCGCATTTTTGCTTTTCGATTTTGAAACCATGTGCAGTGCTGGTTTGTGGCTACGGATATTCTCGTAGTTGAAGAAATTGAAAACAAACTTTTCTGTCTTGGACCTCCTGATCCTTACTTATGCGATCGTAATATCTAGGATCATAAAGCTTTTGTGTCAACCAACTCCTTTTTGGTGGCCCCGCATTCAACTACCACTCAGTATCGTAAGGGCGCTGTAAATGCCTATGTGGCCTATACGGACAATGACATGCAGCGGCCAGCCGATGTTCAAGTCAGAGCCTTTATCCTCCCAGACGAGTCTGGTGCCAATGAATCGACCCACAGTGGATTAGAAGGCGTGTTTAACCTAGTCAGACAGTTGATCCGGGATTCGATCTCGGACCATGCGTGTGTGACACTGCGCCACTTGCTACTACACCACCACTGCACCATAATATATAAATTAGCTCTGCTGCACTGTGATGCTATAGAAATATATGTCAATGAATAAATTCTCAGTACAATTAAGGACTCCAATTTTTTTAAAGATGAACAACTACATGACGAATCGACTACCCACCGTGGAATGTTGTGCGTGTTCTGAGAGGCACGGTGAACACTGTCCAACAGAGAGCTGCCTGCGCAAGTGTAGAGGAAACTATTGCGTTGTCGACTTTGATGGCATCGAGCAGGTATTGATTTGAATTGATTATTTTCTATTAGCGTCACCCAGCAAATCTTTTTGGTTTTACCTACGATTTTACCTCGAACATCAGTTTATTGCTCTAGTCGAATCTGAACAATTTAAGTTCTCTTAGAAAATTGCAATAATTTCGATTGCCTAGAGTTGTTGGACTGAAGGGCATTCTGATCACGTGAGACCACATGCATCACACACGTCATGCATTCAGATTTTGTCATTCAAGTTGTAATGGTCTTGTTTAAATTCATCCAGAGATCTTTTAGGGCTGTGGCTTGGGATTCCCCCGTCTGCAATCGTTTCTGAGGATGGATAACTACCTGGATTATCAAGGATCATTAATTTGTGCAAGGTTTGTACATTTCTCCTGAAATATCCCCAAATATTGTCAAGAGGTACTAAAATGTACATGTGCATTCCGAGTAGGAATGTGTGGAAACCGTGGCAAGTTACAGCACTACCGTCTTAGATAGTATGGTATGACAAGAGCCTCCCAAAGGAGTTTGTTATACCATCCTAGTTGGAATGGTAAATTCATGGCCCCTTGAATCCATGGCCCGGAGTCCTTGTTGTATCATACATGCTGCTACTTGTACCAGCATGTAGAACTTTGTAAAGCCGCTATAACTCTTACAAGAGTCAACGCAATGGCTCATCTCCGAAAGAGTCCAACGACCAGCAAGCCTTTTACTCTACAATTTTTGCAACTGTAGTTAATTTAGCAACATAATGCGAGCATGAATGCTTTAGCGTTCACCTTGCAAAAGCTTTTATTATCCGTCTGTTTTTATTATCTGGTTAAATTAATGGGAAAGCTAACAGAAAGTTAGTTAATATATTGCTATTCCAAAGAAAACATCTGATGTATTTGGCACAGCCAGGTAAGAAATGGAATTGTTCGATTTCAGATATGAAGCTACACCTGGGACAGTCATGAATGGTTGCACATGTACTCAACCATCCGGATCTTGCAATGAATTGAATAAAACCAGAAACTTCCAGGTTACGATACTATGATAAAGTTACAATGTTTTTGCTGCAGCTATAACAAGCCATCCTTCCATTTTGACTAAAAACACTACTGTGGGAGGTCTCGAGTATTCGTTTTTTGAGAAGAAGTCACTAATGACTCTGGAAAGAAAGGGCCGTATTCTTGAGAATCGTTCTTTGACGATCATAACCAGTAATGGCCGTTTGTGGAAATGGTATCATCAGAGAGCCCATTCATTTCTGATATAACAGGTAGACAAATCAATTCCACAACTCATATGCAGTAAATTTATTGTAAAGAAGTTGTGCTCATACTAGTTCCTTCGTGTAGTACCATTTAGCAATGCTCCTCAGTGAGTGTATCGAATAAAAGAGCAACATTCAGGAAGACAGTAATTACGTTTTGTGGCTAAAATATTGAGAAGGCTTCTGAGAGAAAGAAGTTACTAACTTCATTGTTACATCGAATAAGCTAGAACCAGTTTTGGGATAACATCTCGGCTCCTTCGAAGAGGGATACCTGTCGAACTCGTCCACATTGGGTCTTAATCCGATCTTGCTACAGCCATTCAATTATTCCTTTTCAAATAGCCACCAATGGGAATGCTTTCGTTCCTGGTCATTAGTTCTTTGATTTATAGTCGACTGTAGAAAAAATGCAAGCGATTATAAATCATTCGACTGTGCTCTGCTTTACGTGATCCGCAGAAATTTTAGGTGAAAAAAGTCATCGAACGGCGATTAGATGACCAGAACTACTGTTACAGTCTAAACCACAAATCGTCCAAGCCGTTCGGGCAAGAAGTGTTCAAAAAGTAGGCTTGAATTTTGTTTTTATTATTTGATTTTATTGAAGATTAGTTTTTGAGTCTCTACCACTTTGTGGCTTTTTATTCATGAAAAACGTGGCTGCCAAGCCAGTGACTTCAAGTTTGGTTAGCCGTGCCTCAGACACCAAGACTATAATCCAAATGGGGAAGGTTTATGAGAATCAGTTAGATTTCCAGGTCTCTAATATGCAATAAAATATTTCTCTTATCTAATACAGTAACCTTTCCCTACGCCGAAAAAGGGGAAACAGGACGGATGGGGTGTAATGGCGTGTGGCGCACTATTACGCAAGCATGTTCGAACTCCGGATCTTTCTTCCCTTAACAGGCCTTTTATCCCGCTGGGGTCGGCTGAACCAGGCTCGTTCAGGAGGATAAAAGCACTGATAAAAGTACGTCGGCTTGCCATCTCAAGTATAAGCCGTCTAAGCATTCAAACTGTCATTAGATTCTGAATGGAAGTCGAAGGCTGGGAATGCATATCCCAAAGCGGGTTGATCAACGCCTAAGGATTTAGCTTCTATCCTGAGCAAGATGAACCGTCGAGAAATAGTCAAAATCACAGGCAATGAGGTGGTCCGTTAAAATGTTTTTCCATTTTTAACCCTCATTTCTCCAGTTTTCACTTTTTCCTTTCTGAGCTGACCAACCTTATCACTTTTTTCCTTCAAGATCGACCCTACACGTAATGCCACGGGTGAGAGATGGGTAAACTTGCCTCGCTCTAGAAGACGACCCACCTTAGGATTTCTATAAAATGAAAACTGTAAAAATGAAATTTCCACGAGAGTTAATCATTCTTATTTTGGACCAGGTGGTCAGCTCTCAGACATCCTGCGTTGCTCAATCCTTCTACAATTTTCAACAATGAAAGCTCCATTTTTAGGTCAACCACTTGTGAGGGACAATTTTGTTTTATTTCCTATACAACGTCAGAAATTGTTCTGGAGAGTGCTGACTTCAAGCATGATTACTCGGAACACTCGGAATTCATTGGCACGACGAGACCACGATATGAGATTTTGGCTGGCTGCTTGAAAGTTGATGATGACGAGGTATGCATTAGCTGTTTCTTCTTTTACTTATTGTTTATTTTTGATTTCCTTCTTCAACATTTGGTCCAAGATAGTAATGTGTAGCAGCTGGAGATGCGAAAAAGGCTGATGTGCTTACTGCTCGTTATTACTGTGGCTGCTACTCGTCAAAGTACTTGTTTCAGAAAATTTCTGTGGGATGTACAACAGAATACTTGAAAAATACCAGTGATCCTCTCAGTAAGCACTGTATATGCGACAGTCACTTGTGTAACTTCCATCATCTGATCAGCGGCAGAGAAGACACGAGACCAAGGGCGACGAAGAAGCAACAGGTCTGTTTTTGGCGATTAAAACACTTGATCCACAACTAACTTAGATGTTAAAAGTTACTGGACTTCTTCTTCATTACTTTACAGAGTTCAATTACTACACACCTTTCTTATCGTTGAGTTGCTTAGAGACACAGTTTACTACAATCTTGCGTAACCTGGTTTGAGTGAAATAATATAAGTGATTAAGCAGAGCGGGCGGCGAAAAAAGTGTGAAAATCAGGGATTCAAAACAAAAATCGGTAAAAATAAGGCATTGACCGAGATTGTGACAATGGAAGCGGCATGAAAGGGGTTCTTGGATTGCTATTACTTATTTACAGTATACCTGTCAATTTGGTTTCACATTTCACCAACATGGCTTCTTTTAGGATGATGGCGAACGCACGCAGAACTCAGTACCTCGAACGTCATCCCATCCCGTTATCAATAAACGTTCCCAGTACTTCTTCGATTTCGTAGCAATCTTGGCTCTAATAATTTTGGCCATCTAAAGCCTCGAAACTTTTTTAATTTTGTCTCTCAAGGATGGCGAGCTATTTAGAAGGTAAGGGCAAGCAGGGTCTCGGTAGTGTCAGGAATAAAGTGCTTGGAGCTCGGAAAGACAAGTACGGGTTCGTGTCCCGGCTTGTGACGAGTTTTGCCCACAACTCGCCATCCTCGTGAGACTATCGCATAGCGTACTGCCACGAGATAACAGCAGTTAACAAGGACGTCAAGTCAAACCAATTTGTAACTTAGTTTTGCTTTATTGTGTAAAACAATCGCTATTTGTCATATTTTTCCTTCTCCCGATTTCGCTTTCCTGATTTGTTAGAAAATTTTAATTGATTTCCTCCCTTTGAAGCGGCAGTTGTTGGCTTTGAGCGAATGGATTGTCGGTCTACTGTTCCCTGTACGTTTCGATTTTTTGTGATTTTAGTGATATTTTTTTTT